TGTGAGAAGAGGTACTGTCAAAAAGTCTCACGGGCGCAATTAAGAAACAAGCTGGAAAATGGATAGTTCAATCGACCCCAAAATCAATACGCGCGAACTTTTGCAAAGGTAACCCCCAGTCAGTAGCCTGCTGAGTCGCCAAATCCGCGAGGTCCCAGTCTCTATCGAGAAGTTGAATGCAACGGGAACAGGGTCCAGGCCGGAATAGCCGCAGCACGTCATGACAGGTCAACACCTCTCTCAGTCTCATTCACTCGCAAAGTCGGGTGATTTCACTCACAAGTCACAAAACTCACATTCATTCACTCATCTCTTGGTTGGCAAGGCAAGGTAGCAATTGGGGCCACAGGGCAGCATCGCCAAGAAACATCGCCAAGATGGCAGTAAACAGCCGAAACCCGCTCAGCTGGATCCCGCGTTGACACAGAGAATATGCAAAGACACAATGGAGTTGCGGCGGCAAGCGGCGTGACCCCCCCCCCCCTTCAACCCCTGTCCTGTCTGTTCCCCTTCGCTTCAGCCTTCATGTCCCTCTTTCTCCTCCACCTCCCCCCTTGGGATTCTTCCCCCCCAGAAACCTAGAAAACTCTCTTGTCTTCCTTCCCGTCTTGGCCTCGATCTCGTACCTGCTGCGGCCCCAGACTGGGCATTTTCTGGGCAGGCATGGAATGAAGCAATGCCCACAGGGGATCGAGCAATCGAAGGGTTCGCAAGGTCGCAATCGCCAACCTCTGGGCTCGCATGCGGGATTGCGGGTGGGGACTTGGCGGTAAAGCTTGTTTCCATGTGCCGAGGCGCATCAAGAGCCAAGAAGACCAATGGAAGAGACGGGATGGTTGTAGGTTCGCCGTCAGAACACCACCACCACGCCGCCGCAAAGCATGGGTTCGCCTGCTTGCTGTCTCGACGTACCAGCCAAACCCTCGACCTTTCTCGGAGCTCCAGCGGACTTGGACCGTAATGTGGCCTGGCTGACTCCCGGAGCCATGTCCCGGAAAGGTAGGTGCTTTCAACGTCGACTCGAGAACGAGGACCACTCTACCACACGGCACCACTCGAGACCGGCACCGGGGCTATCGCGAGGGTGGATGGATCATGGAGTGATGGACCAGAATCAGATCGCTTTAGACGAGAATGCCTCGTTTCGCCTCTGGATTGGTTGGTCCCGCCCTCCGCTGGCGCTCCTCTCCCCGCCGCGGACCCCCCTCCATCAGCTCGGCTCCATTCATATCGTCTGCTTTTGGTGCCTTGCTGCTTGTTTCCTTGGCCTTATTCCCCTTTTCAATCATCTCAACCTCCGGCCTTGGATCCAAGAGCGGAGGACGGCGGTGCGTCGACACTCGACAAACAAGCGTCGACTCGTTCGACCCTTTTTTCGACCTGCTCTTTTCCATCTAGTCTACAGCTGCTTGGGAACTTTGTGCCAGTGACAAGCTTTGGTCAAAAGTTCCCATAACCCTTCCCACCCCCTGGCCGGGAATAGGCTGGTCCTTGGGATGGGTTCCATCTTCCACCATTCCATGAGCTCCATGGCGGAGAGACAGATGGAGCTACGACCTTAGTTGAAGAGCTCTAGAGACTAGAGTCTACCAGTCCCCTGTTCGAGACTAGCCTGCCCGTTGATGGCTGCCGCAAGTAGTCAACTGCTTGTTGTTCCTCCTTGGTGATCTACACACTACCGACTACCGTCCCTTCTCATCAAATCTAGCCCCTCTGTTCTCTCGAATCATGATGCGCAGTACCATCGTCCTTGTCGGCGCGATATGGAGTCGCGACAGGCAGCCTTGCTATTGCACGATGCTCCCTCTTGGAAGGTGGTATTCCCCCACGGCTAGCTTGTGCCGCACACCATGATGGCCCTCCTTCACGAACTCCCCCCCTGCCTGGTATTGTTGGCCTTGACATATCCAAAGCCCGTGATGTTGGCAAGGACTGCGAGTAATGTCGCCATGATCCATCCTATCGCTCCGACTTGCCGTCCCCGGTCCCAGAGTCCAGACACCATCTTCATAGACTGGACGATGACGATATAAACCATCCCATCTCCCCGTTGATCATCCCATCTCTCCTCCTCATCCTCATCGGTCATCTCCCAGTCCTCCTCCTCGGTCCTCATATCCTCTTCTCTGCTCCTTTCCCCGGCTTCATTAGCTTTCAGTCATCTCACAATGACTGGCTCTTCCTTCGTCTCGGCCCTCACGGCCGGCCTCGCCCTGGCCTCCTCCGTCGCCGCCCTCCCCGCCGGTGCCCAGCAGGAGAGAGGCTTCACCGTCGAGCAGATCAAGAACCCCCGCTACGTCCGCTCCGGTCCCCTCGCCCTCGCCAAGGCCTACCGCAAGTACAAGGCTCCTCTCCCCGCCGACCTCGCTGCCGTTGTCGCCAACATCAGCTCTGCCGGCCTCGTCGAGCGTGCCACTGGCAGCGTCGCCGCCAACCCCCAGGAGTACGATGTTGAGTACCTGAGCCCCGTCCAGATCGGAACCCCGGCCCAGACCCTTAACCTCGACTTCGACACCGGTTCCTCCGACCTGTGGGTCTTCTCGACCTCCACCCCGGCCAGCCAGCGCAACGGCCAGACCGTCTACGACCCCTCCAAGTCCACCACCGCCTCCCGCCTCTCCGGCGCCACCTGGTCCATCTCCTACGGTGATGGCTCCAGCTCCAGCGGTATCGTCTACAAGGACACCGTCACCGTCGGTGGTCTGACCGTCACCGGCCAGGCCGTCGAGGCTGCCTCCACCGTCTCCGACTCCTTCACCTCCGAGAGCGACCTGGACGGTCTCCTTGGTCTCGGCTTCAGCAACATTAACACTGTTTCGCCCACCCAGCAGACCACCTTCTTCGACACTGCCAAGTCCAAGTTGGACTCTTTCCTCTTCACTGCCGACCTGAAGCACGGCAAGGGTAAGCACTCACTCAATCTCACTAGATGTGATGTACAATAAGACAGGACCTTTGATACTAACACAATCAACTTATATAGCTGGCAAGTACAACTTCGGTTACATTGACAGCACCGCCTACACCGGTGCCATCACCTACACCTCCGTCAACTCCGCCAACGGATGGTGGCAGTTCACCTCCTCCGGCTACCAGGTCGGCTCCGCCAGCTTCGTCTCCAGCTCCGTCACCGGTATTGCTGACACCGGCACCACCCTTCTCCTCCTTCCCCAGGCCATCGTCACCGCCTACTACGCCAAGATCACCGGTGCCAAGTACGATTCTTCCCAGGGTGGTTACACTTTCCCCTGCTCCGCTACCGTCCCTTCCTTCACCTTCGGCGTCGGCACCGCTCGCATCACCATCCCCGCCACCTACATGAACTACGCTCCCATCAGCACCTCCACCTGCTTCGGTGGCCTTCAGAGCAACGCCGGCATTGGCATCTCCATCTACGGTGACATTGCCCTCAAGGCTGCCTTCGTTGTCTTCAACGGCAGCACCAAGCAGCTTGGCTGGGCCGCCAAGACCCTCTAAATGCTTAGAGAGCGCAGCTTTGAGCAGCAGAAATAGAAGAGAGAGGTGGACGATTCAGCAAACATGAAGCCCGGGTAATCTGGATTTGAGGACTGGACAAGGGAAAGAGAACTGAGGGTTGTTTGGTGAATCGTTCATCAGGACAATTCATGTGACAACTAAGTCACTACTTCTTATACATAATTCTTATTCGTAGCATATTGGCGGACATTTATGAGCGATGATCACGGGAATATAGTTGCATTGTCTATATTGAATAATAAGACTCGGCATGTGAAAGACGATTAAATCTGCTCCACCATTTTTCCGTGTGCATCGTTGACCATGACCTTTTCCGTATAAGTAACTTGTTTATGGATTAGTATCGCTTCTTGTTGAGCCTTTTCCGAAGTGCCAAGAGCTAAGTCTCCCCCCTAGACGCGTCGTGTTTGGATCGCTAAAATGCACTGAGAAATCGTCCTCCACATTTACAGCTCAACTCATCGCTCACTCACACCCATTCCCGACCGCAATCTCCCATCTCAAATTTTCATTCCTCCAATACAAACCGTGTTAACATATTAAGGGTTCCTTGGCATGCGGCAAGCCATCTGGTCTATGCCAAGGTCCTGGCATCTCTCCTGCCCAGGCCCTAGGATCTGCCCAGAGCGGCGCGGCCGTCCGGCGCGCTTCGTTGCTCTGGGCACTGGGCAAAGAATCCATGCAAGCAATGTGGTAGTGAAAGAACACCGTCTATCCTCGGGCTCAGGATACCGAGGTGCAGAGGGTGGCTGATGAGAAGGAGGTGAGATGGCTGGCATCGGTGGATGGTTTCGGAGCAAGGCTGCTGTGCCAAGAGAAACGAACAAGGGGAGGAGGTATGGGAGTTGGTGAGCTTGGTGAAGAGGAAAGATTCCGCAGCGGGTGAAACTCAGCATGGGAACATCCTTCCTCGCTCCCTTGCTCATTGCAACGGAGCGATCTCATCACAATGGCGGGTTATCTACGCGGCACATTCTGTATGGTAGTTAGTACGGATTTTCAAGAGGAGAGACTTTCACAAAGCCGTATCTCTCATCTTTCTGGCGCACAAAATCCTCCAATAAGATATGAGTTTTGGGGGCAAAATACGACACAGTGAGTTTTTGCGATGACTCTTGGCACAACTCTGAAATGAGGGTCGAATATCCACAGTATGATCATCGCTGGAGAGCTCTATTTCATCTACAGTACGTGACGTTGTGTTGGACGCCGGAGATGGAACTTCGGCACTCCGAGGTTGGATTTACTATGACCACGGGTCCTCTCACCATCTGACGGTCTCCCGCTGTCTACACAGAAACCCTCAATGCCGGGGACCAGAGGTAACATCTCGCCATTCCATTACTGCGGTGGCATTTGCCGCGGACTTATCGGGGAGGTGATGGGCGGCAACCTGTCGCTCACCACCTAGACCTGCTAATCGCGTTTTCTCGATGCGCATCCCCCGCCATTCCTTCACCGAGACCGGTTCATCTGACTTTCTCTCTCGCCGCGAATTTACGCTAGGTCTGAAAGTCAAGAACGACAACTTGACGGTCTACGGATGAGGTCGCCGACTGGGCGATGGCAAAGATGGACAGCACATCTTCGTCCTCGAACCTTTTGATGTCCACAAGCGGCTCGCCGATGAAGCCAACACCACTCCAGACTTCTACTGACTCAGCGTAGCTTTTTTCTTTTAATGACTTGAGGATACGGAGAGATGAATTGGCCGGGTTGGGGAGGACTAGGAAGAGGTCACCAGCTCTGCTGATGGCTAGACGGCCGCGTCGAGGACTGGGTACTGGCCCGATGGCATGCTGAGTCCATGTGCCTGCTCAAGAAACCATGTTAACTGAGATCTCTTGGTGACAATAACATTCGTAACCAAGGCTGGCTGCCATCATCTTACCATTGGGAGATCGATAGTAATGCTTCCATAGATTCTCTGCATCCATTGTGTCACGGTTTAGAACATGCACCCCGCCGTCCTGATCGACTGCCTGTGCCTCTTGGTTCGTCAAGCCTCGACCCTTGGGGATATCAAAGGCAACAAGACCGGGGCAATCCGGTGTAATTGAGCTTCCATCTCTCAACGAAGCAATCGTTTCATCTTGCCCGTTCTTCCACGTCCAACCCCCGTCGTCGCTGTAAGCATAACAGATGTTATGATTGTTTTCGGCTCCATTGGGGCCGGCTTGTTGTTTGTGTTTCGTATCTAGATGATCATCCCATCCGTCATAATGGACGAAGCCGCGATATACCCATGTGATATGTAGCGTACCATCACGGTAGTCCATGCCATGAACGTATGGGTTGTTCTGGATGCCTTTCAAGTGTTTCCCAGCATACTCGTACATCCCTGTTGCGGCATGATATATGTACAATAGGTCGTCTCCTAGACCAGCTTTCCCATTCCTTATGGAGAAGAACATGTCGTCGCCCAAGACACCGAAACGTGGGTAGGTTACGTAGCCGAAGTTCTCATGAGGTAGTAGTATGCCAGGAACGTGATCGAGAGTCGGAGTGAAGACATCTTTGCTCCATCGGGATCGTTCTGGATCACTGGCAATGCCTTTGATAGAATGTCGATACCTCAAGCTTGAGAAGCTGTTAGTGACGGTGGTCCTTTACGACGACGCCTAAGGTACACAACTCAGGGCTATCGCAAGGGTGAATTTGAGAAGCGATCTTACATGTCACAGTGATGGTCGTAAGATAGGTGGATGGTGCCATCGCCCGGACAGATGCCCATCTGAACGGTGTTATGGCCATCGTCGGTAGTTTGGAGATAATCGTCAAAAGTTATCGTTTGCCAGTCAGCGCTGGGTAGTTTGCGCCGAGCCAAGCAGACGAAGAGAGGTTCAGGCTGAGTGTCATCCCCTAGATTTGAGGAAGAGTAGCTACTGTAAAACACAGCATATTGCCAACCCTTGAATGAGATGATGGCGTCTTGCTGGAACGCGTTCCCGTTGAGAACGCAGTTGCGGTGAGCCGGGTCCCGTCCCAATACAGTGACCACAGGGGCTTGAAGATGATGCACCTCGTTGAGTGACATCCCGGCTGGTCAACGCAGGCAGGTCAGGGACAAGCAAAGGCGAAGGACTTGGTCTGAGCTGGTTTATCTTGGCGTTGGATGTGAGAGGTGACACTGAGATGCGCGGGCTTGGTGTGGCGCGACCGAGGCAACGGGAGTGAAAGGGGAAACGCAGAGGCTCTTGGAGTGGCTTGCATATGTTTTCAACGTCGGGTCATGGAGGACGAAATTCTTCCGTCCTGTCTTTACACGAGAATCATTCGCGAGAACGATACAGCGATGCGCCGACATTGTGTCGACATTGTAGAACTATGTCGAAAGCCTTTCCATAGTTCACGAACCAGTATAACTTCAGAGTCTAGTCAGGTAACTCTAATGATCTCCGAAAGCCACGAGGCAGCCGTGACGGATGTGCACCCCAGTTCCATAGTCCTTGGCTGCGACTGTACGGCACATGCCGAAGTATTGGTTCATGGATAGCTACAGCTGCAAATGAGACGCCAATACAAACAGTGCAGGGCGTGACAGGTCTAGCAGGGCCCAAGTGCTCGGGTCCGGAACCAGACAGACATGAAGGGGAGGGATTGGTATGTGGCATCGCATGATATTGGCCGCAGGCGACCTGGGTGGCGTACTTAGCGCTTGATGTATTGGACATATCTGGAATATCTACAGATACATGCACACTTATTGACGAATAACGAGTAGAACCAACTATCAAATACGAGAGTGACTCAACGTACGTACCAGAGGAAGATTGGAAAGCTTCGAAAATAGAGTGTTGGCAGAATCAGACTAGGAAGATCCGGTCCTTCAGGTCAGAAACGCGGATTAATTTTTCCGTCAAATGAATGAGCTTCATGACTTGGTGCCAAGCCTTAGGATCCAACGCCACAAAGTCGGGGTGGTGTCGCGAGAGATGGAAATGGCCGTTGGAACCCCAGACTTAAAATCGTGTTTGGCGGGGGGTTGGTCGAATCACGATCTATCTTACCTGGGCTGGAATAGTCGTCAAGGTCATCAAAGGAGTGCCAGATCGAGTCTAGAATGGGACAACAAACGAGACAGATGTCCAACAAGAGTCTAGACTATGCCTTCGCTGGTTGAAGACATCTACGAACGAGCTCAGTCTAGCTATGGTCAAGCGTCAACCGAGAGACGCGATCTACTTTGATAGAGGCATTCTTGGTCTGTTGACAAAGTCAATATGCTGCTCGTTAACTTGCTGACGGTCTGTTCGCCCATGAGGTAGTTCTTGTCTGTCTGTGCTATCTCACTCACCCACCGCATCTTGACGACCCCCGCGATCTCCAACACATCTCCACCTATCCATCCCCGTTTCTCCTACCCGCGCCCTTACTCCACAGAATCCACCGTACGGGGATGGGTCGACAAATGGGCTATCGGTTGGAGTAGAAACCAGTCCGGAACGTGGGATGAAAGGTGTGGGAGGCGACGGAACCAAGTTGGTTCTACGGAGTACCTACTCATCAAGAGACTGCCTCCTCAGCCATTAATTGGGTGACTTGTTGTCAGAGACTCTTTGGCTCTTGGTGTTTGTGTTCCTGTCACCCTGTACGGATACATCGTCTCCTGCGCGGACTTCCCTGTCAGCGCATATGCAGTGCAGAAGAAACTAAACCAAGTCCAGCGCACTAAAAATCTGCTCCCTGGTCTACACTCTATTCGTACAGCCAGTCATGGTAGTCTAACTCTACAGCCCACGCTCTTATTTCTTTGCCTTTTTGCCTCGTTCTTCTTTCTCCACCTTCGCCAGTAGCCTAAATACTGTGATGGGGGAGACAACCAGAGACGCATCTTCCAGCAAATCACGCGCCGTGTTCGTTGCCAGGAGCGGTCCACATTTCGGCGACGGAAACCACAACGAGAATAGCCACTGCTCGGAGAGCCGTTCGTCCTAGCAAGCATACGGATACTTTATTCTTGCTCCGCTGTGCGCATCCCGGGGCACCTGGGGAAGGACGGGACTCTCCTCTGGGGCCCCAGAGAGTCATGTCTATTACTGTTAAGCTTGAAACTAGTAGCATACGCCCCCAATTTGCAGCCAGAGGGCAATTCGTTTCTGTTGTTGCTATGATAAAAATCCCAAGGCATCTGGGAGGTAACCTGGGGGTACAGGGTCATCCATCTCTTAATCTCATTGCCTTCACACCGTAATTAAGCCCCCCCCCCCCCCAACCTCCCTTGTCAAGTCCACGATTTGTATAGATGAACCGTGAGAACCATACTAATAGCCCCGAACGAGCTTAAGGCCATCAAGTATCCGAACAGTAGGTAGGATGCGCACGTGTATGCTTCGATCTTTCCCCAAAGTCCCCATGGCTGCGATGTTGGTCTCCCCTTGGTTCGCACACCCGTACCCGAGCCATCGTTCCTGTCGTCCATCTGACTAGAGTGCCATCCGTTCTGCCTTTAGCCTGCCAAGCCTAGTCTCTGAGACTAGCCCAGCCATGCCATGCTTGTTACTGCATCCCATCCGGCCACCTCGATGGTCGACCACCACCACCACAGTTACCACACACCCTCAAGATGCTTGCCGTATCCCACCCTTTGCCGGAAGCCTCCAATTGCACGACCTGGTCGGCTGATCGCAAAACCGAATAGGTCCCCCTCTCCCAAGAGCCAAGCCGTTCCTCTGCCGCCCCCGTCGGTCCAGCACCATCGGGATGCCCTCTCCGTCCCCTCTGAATGGCGGAAAAATCTCATGGACAATTCACCGTCCGTCTTGGTACTCGCTGAGGCTCGGTTTTCTGGGGGTTAGAGGCACAGATGAGCAGACGAACGAGCTATACCAGACGAGACAGGACTGCAGCAGGGATTCTTTGGGTTCTGGACGGGCTGGGAGACGCACAGGATCGACTGCGACCGTGGCTCTCCGGACAGTTACTCCTCACTAGCACCTCCAATCCCCTTTTCCCCAGGTTACTTTTTGCTACATGTGAGATGGCAAATTGCTGACTATTCTGGCAGTGAGGGGTCCCCGGGTTTCTATCCATCTGGGGAAAAGACGAGGGTCCTGATCAGCAAAGAAGGGAAAACACCATTGCAGATTTGCAATATATCAGGGCCACCAGCCCACACCCTCTAACCCTCGCTTTCCTCTCTTCGTCGCTCCGTCTCCTCATCCAGTCCTCAGCCCACCACCGCCCCCCTCACATCTTGAGCTGACTCACCTTGGCTCGAGACTCAATCATCACAGGGTGTCGTGTCACATCGGCCACCAGCCATTCAACTGCGATAGCAACACCAACCCTGCCAGAGTTTGGCCGTGTTGTAGAGAAACAAACCGCCCAACATGACGACAATGCAAAAAATCCTCAAGAAGATCGTCCACAATGAGTCCATGGAGACGGACCCCGCAGAGATCTATGGCTGGAGAGTCTTCGCACTCGCCGCCTCCGCCTGCTTCGGCGCCATGTCGTTCGGTTGGGATAGTTCCGTCATTGGTGGTGTCGTTGTCATGGAGCCCTTCAAGAAGTAAGTGATGGGCCTAAAGAGCACAATCCATCAAGTACCAAGAAACTGACTTATCTACCCATAGCGACTACGGACTCAAGGATGCCAACCCCGTGGAAACCGCCAACTTGACCGGTAATATTGTATCCACTCTCCAAGCCGGATGCTTGGTCGGTGCTCTTCTCGCCTCACCCATGACGGACAGATTTGGCCGCAAGTGGTGTCTTGTTACTGTCGCCGCCATCATCCTCGTCGGTGTTGTCCTCCAAGCTGTCTCTTCCGGTAGAATCGCTGCCATCTTCGTCGGTCGCTTCATTGCAGGTCTCGGTGTCGGCGGTGCCTCTTCTATCAACCCTCTCTACGTCTCGGAAAACGCGCCTCGTGCCATTCGTGGTCTCCTCACTGGCATGTATCAACTATTCATCGTGACAGGAGGTATGATTGCCTTCTGGATCAACTACGGCGCCGAGGTCAACTTGACGGGAAAGACCATGTACATCTTCCCTCTCGCCATCCAGGGCCTGCCCAGTCTGATGCTCCTCATCTGCATGCTTTTCTGCAACGAGTCTCCCAGATGGCTGGCCCGCCAGGATAAGTGGGAAGAGGCCAAGAAGATTCTTTCCACCCTTCGCAACCTGCCCGAGAACCACCCCTACCTTGAAGATGAGTTCCAGGAGATTGTTGACCAGCTCCAACATGAGAGACAGCTCATTGGCAACGCCACCTTCAAGAACCTGCAAAAGGAGATGTGGACCATCAAGGGCAACCGCAACCGTGCTCTCATCTCCATCTTCCTCATGATCTGCCAGCAAATGACGGGAACCAACGCTATCAACACCTACGCCCCTACCATCTTCAAGAACCTCGGTGTCACCGGTCGCTCCACGCCTCTTCTGTCAACTGGTGTCTACGGAATCGTCAAGGTCCTTGCCTGCATCTGCTTCTTGCTCTTCATGGCTGACTCTCTTGGCCGTCGCCGCTCGCTTCTCTGGACTTCAATCGCCCAGGGCTGCTGCATGTTCTACATCGGTCTCTATGTCCGCATCTCCCCGCCCATTGCCGGACAGCCTGTCCCAGGTGCCGGCTACATGGCTCTGGTCGCCATTTTCCTGTTCGCCGCATTCTTCCAGTTTGGTTGGGGTCCGGCCTGCTGGATTTACGCCTCTGAGATCCCGGCAGCTCGTCTTCGCTCCCAGAATGTGGCTCTGGCTGCTGCCACTCAGTGGCTCTTCAACCTTATCGTTGCCCGCACCGTCCCTAACATGCTGGCTACCGTCGGTTCTCATGGTTACGGGTAAGTGATTCGCTGCTCATACTTCTTCCCTCAGATTGACATTCAGCTAACATTGTGGCAGAACTTACCTCATCTTTGGAAGCTTCTGTTTCTCCATGTTCTTCTTCGTCTGGTTCTTCGTCCCCGAGACCAAGGGTATCTCCCTCGAGCACATGGATGCTCTATTCGGTGTGACCGACTACGACTCTGACAAGAACTTGAACCACGACAACATGAGCGACACCAAGGCCTCCCCCGCCGAGATTCAGGTCGAGTCTACCAACCCCGCCCACGCCCACGTCCGCAAGGAGTCGGCTTAGGCACTTTTGTTTGGGAGGAGATATGATAAGAGAATTTGCAAGGAGACGGACGCTATAATGTCAAATGACGGGAAGTTGCAAGCGGGTTTGATCTTAGATGAGAGTTAGAAAGGGGTTGAAATGCGTAGTGGGAAGTGGCCCCTATGCACCCAGTTGCGCCATTTGATACCAATCTTTTGAGTCCAAAGCCACGCATGGCCAAGGCCTATGATCATAATTCAATAAAGTTTTGAATTCACTATAATGCTCACTTGCCACGTTCACCACACTGCCAGGCCTCACAGGCTCTGGGCTGCGAGCGACCGCCTTTGGCATTCACGAGATATCGAATAAGTCTCGGGTCCTGCCTTGCTGCCCTCTGATGACATCTGACCTTTGCTTCATAAGCATAGTGTAGGTTCGTCGCTGTTCAGAAGCTCCGGACAGCAACGCTTAAGGGGAACTGGACAGTATAGTTCGCATGCCTTTACCGGACCACATGAAGCCTTGAGAGAGACAGCACCAGTGTAAATACGAATATGAAACGCTGCACCTTGTTTGCTTGCAGCCGGGCATTGCTAAGGTGGCATCATGCAACGATCGCTGGTGAAATTGACCATGAAACGCCGAAACCCATCGGGGTCATTTGGATTGCCCCAGAATACCAAGCCGAACCATTCGACTCGTGTCCATAGTCCCCTGTCCTTTTGCCTCCGTTGCTGTGCCGCAGCATGTTCTCTGGTCTGGAAAGAGACCCCAAGTAGACGCCTAAAGTAGTTCCATGATAATATATGAATACGAGAAATGTACGAAAACACGCTTGCCAGTGTAAAAATGGACATCGGAACAGAACTTCTGTCTACTGTCCTCCAGGAGCTCCCGCACCGTCGAAGATGATGAGCGGCCATTGACCGACAGGAGCTGTTACAGAAGCCATGTCGGCCGCTGTCGCCGCTTCAGTCACAGCAGTGGGATCCCTAGACGCGCCGCCCAGGGTCAACAGGGCATTAGCGCTGTATCTATCTTGGCTGTCCGCCATTGCCGCTGTCCAGTCATGCCAGGTATTTCCTTGTGATGCCGACTGTCTCCAGAGTAGCTCCGCCGCAGCCGCAGAGCCTGCAGGGTCTGCAACGTGCTGAGTGGCCTGAGATGCGAACGCAATCAGTGGATTCGTCTCAGCAGTGTTGTCATCCCCGTTTGTGGGCTGCGTCGCCGCAGGCGTATACGAGTATCCGTTGTTTACCTCGAAATTGCTTGTCGATGCCATGGTGTTGGCACTTGGTGGCTGCTCAGTGTAAGCTAGCGAAGGGTACGGAGTTGTCCCATTCTGATTCTCCGCGTCCGAGTAGAATGCTTTCGTAGCGGCTTCGTCGGCACTTGCAGCGAGGGCCTGCACTGCTTGAGGCTGGGACGTAAGCTGAAATGGTGACGCTTCTGCTGTCGATGGTTCGGTTTTGATCGCTGGCGGAAGTGACGACGAGTCTTTTTGTTTTTGGTCGTGTTCAATCCAGCTGATTGTCCTTTCAATGATGACACTGATTTCGTTACTGATACGTGCTCCGGTTCCTAGATAGAAGCGGTTAGTCTCAAAGTTCACCTCGACGAATTCGGGATAGGACTCACCGAGTAGCGAGACAGTCGCATTGATGATCTCCATCCAATCCTTCATCTCCTCTCGAAGGGTTGCAATCTGATTAGGCGTTGCCTCGAACCTCCGTTCCCAATGGGCAACCAATGTGGTGAAAATGGCGGCACCGTAAACTGCCATTTGATACCACGTAGTATCGAGAGACTTCAGCTTCACGAGGCTCTTGACAGCATTGAGCATATGCGCAGCAGTCTCCTCGCATATGCGGGCATTTTCGAGGAGGAACTTGCGATCGGTGGTCATGGCCACGGATGGATGGCGTAGACACAGCCGAAGCTCAAGGGCGTACATCTGTATGTACAAGGCATACATACGGCCTTCATGTTCAGTCTGCCCTGGGTTGATTTGGAGCGATTCGGGGAGGTTTTCCTTCCAGAGACGAAGCTGCTCTTCTAGAGAGTTGACAACATCAACGTAGTTCTTAGGGTCGCGCTTGACACTGTAGATGTTGGAGTACATCTCCATGAACAACGGCAAGATCTTGAAGCCTGCCAGCCCAACATGATATGTACAAGGCGTGGTTACCGACGGATCGACGCCGTCTGGTGTTAGGGCCTCATCGGCGATCGGCTCAGGAAACTCGACGTCGTACTCTTCAACCGTTATAGGCATAGGCCGCCCAAGGCGCCCGTTCAGAGTGACATAGACGAGAAGGATGGTCCACCAAGTACGCTTACGAATCTCGTTCTCGAGATTTGTCGTTTCCCCCGGTCCCTTCATAGCGCGGTGCATATTGAGGTCGATAGCGCGGTGGAAGGCAAAGTTGGTGACCATGGATCCGCATCCTGGCTTGGGGAAGCTACGACTGTGAGCGCAGATCATCGCCATGGCCTGAACCGCTGCCACTGATTGCGAGGATGCCAAGTCAAACATCTTGCTCAGAGCATAGTGATAATGCTTATTGGACAACTCGTTGAGTTGAGACCGTGTTTCCTGCTGCTCCCAGTTTCGCACGCCGTATTGGAAGTAAATGGTCGCAAAGACCATGTGCACCATGACCTGGTCAGGCACACTTGCTTCGAAGCCAGGTTCGTCGTACATACGAGTGAGCTGTAGATGATTAGAGCTGACAAACTTATGCAGGAACTGGCCAACTTACAATGTTCATAAAGCTAGGCTTATGCAGGACTGGCAGAAAAGGCCAAATCATGAGGAAGTACCATTCAGAGTACGTGAAGGCATCGCTCCTTGAAGGAAGCTCGATATTGACTGTAGGATTCACATTCATGCTGGACTGGAGGAATGATTGTAGAGACTTGTTGTACAGGGGCTGCGCATCCTTGGCGTCTGGTATCGGCTCGTCAATGTCGGGGGCGTCGAAAGAGGTGACATCGATTGTCGTCCCTAGAATGGAAAGCTGGGTGCCCTTGATTGAGCTAAGAGGCGCGCTGTCCGAGCCGACGCCCAGATGATTATGAACGGGACGTGACTCGAGCGTCGATCGAGGGAATGAGCGACCACCGGCAGGTTTGTAGTTGTAGTTCTTGACCCAGACGGAGCCAACCTTGGTCCAGGCATCCTTCTCGTTGGGGTCGTCTACGGCATTGCCCATGTGGTCATAGGTTGCGCCAGGAGTCGGGTAGTTCATGGCGTATGGAGACCATTGGTAGGGTTTGACTTCGGTGCCGTTATTCTCAAGCAGCTTTTCGAGTTCGCGGATGTGGTTCATCATGTCCGTCTTTTCCCTTTCGAGCTCCTGAAGGTAGCCTCTTCTTTCGGTTCGGCCGGTGACGCGATCAGTAACGAAGCAATCGAGATTCTGGCTAATGCAGTGGGAGCATCCTTCAGGGAGGGCATCGCATCGAATCTTTCTGACCTAAGATTTATTGTCACGAGGGTTAGTATGGAGAGGCAAAAGATGAGGGCAGGAATGTGATAATAGGGCGATGGAGTATCGTGAAGAGCTCAGTACGAACTCAAGGATAACAGCCAAGACGCACCTTGCATCTGTCGCAGGCCTGGCCGGTTCTTGTGTAAGACGATAGGCGATTCTTGACAACGGAGGAGAAGTCCTCCTGGCCGCCCTTGTCGAGTCTCGGAAGCTTCACCTTGGGCGCAGGCGTGGATGCGACATCGTCAGATGGAGTAGCTGCACCGCCAGCTTCTGCCGGTCGCTTGGGTGGGCGACCCGGCATGGTCTACGTTTTCTCTCCCTCTTCTTCTTCTCCTTCTTCTTCCTCCTCTCTCGGTATGGAATTGTAATTCGAGATTGGCGCAGAATTGTGTAGCGAAGAATAAAGTGTTCCTGGCGACGCGCGGGACGGGAAGAAAGTCGCGACGGGGATTGCCGTGGGTGATGGAGGTTGCCGCGTTTTTAGGAGAGCTGTGCACTGCTGAGATGCCGGAAGGAGAGCCAGGGAAAAGCATCCAGTGCCAGGGGGCAGACCCATAAGGTAAGGTAGGGTACCTAAGGGACGGTACTGGACACAGTCGAGAAACTGGGCGGGGGAGCGCGGGAGCTGATCGCAAACGCAAACGCACGCCAGTGGCCCTGGGAGGATGTCCCAACCTGTCGGGATGCGGGAGTGCGGCAAGGCGGGCGGGTTCCAGGCCAAACTACCCGTAACTGAACCTGTAAGGAACCTTGCCTCGTCCCACTGAGCTTTACTTTACTCACTGAGAACCTGAGACGCACTTGATCCGTACACTAAGAACTGTACGTGCCAACTCCAAGAACGCTTGACACTTAATTAGCTTGACGCTTAACACGCGGGGCTGGTCTAGAAGCAATGCTTTAAGTCTACTGATGAGACCTAAGGTAAACCCCCAATCAGGCTGGCTGATAACGCGTTCCAGTAGACTTGGGAGGCCTGAGTTGAGTGAGAGGTGTGGTGTCTAGACACTGGCTGAAGTGAGACTAAGTAAGATTGGACGAGTGATAGTGCCGATTCCTCGTAAACTTCAACAGAAACACGCAACTCTTCTCAGGTCAAGTTTCAAGGGCTTGCAACCCAATGATCTACATACCAGGCAATCGTTTTCTGTCAGGAAGGAGGAGTAAGAAAGAGTGGCATGGTTTGTGGTGAGATGTGGGATAAGAAAGAGATGCTGGACTACTCGACTTTCAACACAAAGCCTCCAGGAATTTCTAGCGATTGAAACAGACAGATCAGGAAGGAGGATGCGCATCTCTCAGCATGCAAAGCCAAGCGTACGAATTCGAATTCGGTTGGGTTCAAGATTGGGTCCAAAGGAAACCGAGTCGGTGAGTTTCGATGAGCGATGAGGTGGCGCATAGGGGCGTCGGCTGACAATGGACGGGAACGAAAGATTCCAGTGTTCCAAGGTTCTAGTGCCAGGGCCAAGGCCGTAGACTAATACTAAAATGACTGCAAATGTATTACATTCCAAAATCTAGCCCTCAAAACTAGGTATCCGGCCAGACTCAGCCTGTCCGTTGTTGTCCTACCACCAGCTTGACACGCTTGCAACCGACCCTACTTCAACGCCGAGAGACCCATGTGTTCATGAATCCGTCTGCCTACCTTTTTGTTCCTCCCCCATGGTGCCCTGGCTATGTCTCACTAAAGTAGCCCGTCGTGATCGGGTACTTCAAGGCGAGCCCACGAGCCTCCTTTGTGTCCTTGCCGCGAACGTACCGGCCCAAGTGCCACTCAACCGTGCTCAGCTTACGGCAAGTCTTTCCCCGTTTGTAGACTACGGTACGCGGCAACGCCGCCGAGGAAAGTCATCGAGGCCTAGTAACGGGGAAAGGCACGCGGGTACCGATGTCTGGGGGATATGATTGTCTACCAAGACCGTCCCGGATTCAGACAACCTTTTCCTAGGTATACGACATGAGACGCCTTAGTTAGCGAGACATCCTACGGCAAGTCAGCCCGTGAACATGGAATCGTAGTCAACATCTCTTCACGAAAGCATGCGCACGCAGTCCAGGGCCGAAGTGCCAAGCCTAATCATTCCTCTTCGGCGACAGCTCTGACTACCTACCCTACCTCGTACTGCCAGATGTCTGTGTGTATGACATTTTCGCCTAAGCTTAGATATCTAGTCACCGTTATTCATGGCGCGTACACATCGCCATCATTGACCCCTCATTGGAGGCTGAATCGCGGAGACGAGCAGCCCAATCAACATCGGAAACACGGCTTGACCTAGCCCATGGCTGCCGCGTCACAGCAGGGCTGCTGGGGATGATGAGGCCTCTGCCAGAGGTCGATGCGTCCGAAGAGTTGGGCCGATTGTCAGGTTCGTTGCAAAGACGTCCATGGACGACAAGTTGGGTTGAGGATAAGATTATTGTTTACAGAGTAGTGACACATTTCTGCTTCGTCAAATGCCAAAAGTGCTTGATCCAGAACGTGTTTGAACCTCTCGCGCGGCTCACCAACGTGAAATGAGTCGGATTCAACATTGTTCACCTTGTATCGATACCTGAGATTCGTGTCAAGCGTTTGGCCCTGATTGGATCTTGAACTGATACAACTGTTCGGAGCGCCTTCCGGTCTCCAAGGCACACTAGCAACTGAGGAATGCCGGTGCCCATATGTGCACTTGTGCCTGGGCTCTGAACAGAGTAACGAAAACGAGGGTAGCTACTGAGTAAGTTGACAATCTAAGGTCCAAGTCTCGCAGCGAAATAAACATCAAGCAAAGTCTGAAAATAAAGATAGCGCAAATGCTATATCTCGGGTGACGTATTATGGCGGAAACTCTGATTTGTAAGGCTGCTAGGACGCGGGGATTTTTACCGGATCGAATATTCAACAGACAATAAGTCACAACTTAATATCCATAGAGCAAGAGGTAGTAGGGCTTCAATAAGGTTCTTAGCCCCGAGTGAGATTGTATTAGTCTCTTGCACGTGTAAGGCAAGCTAAGAGGAAACAAGTACCTACACTAGCTGAGGGCCGGAGTGGGGAAGGGAGATGCAATTTGACAGAGGAATGAAAAACATACTTGGTCAGTCTTGAGTGACTTCAGTAACAACTCACTGACTGATTGTCTTAATGAGGATTTAGGAATGAATGAATAAGTCATTGCATGAGTGAGTAAGTAAGTGAGTGAGTGATCGGATAAGGAGGAACCTAAGGCCTTGCATCGTGTAGGTAGTACAGTGAGGTGAGAATGAAATGCCCTGAATTGCAGCAAACACCGCAGTTATGGGTAAGGCAGGTGGGGCCCAGCTAACACGCTGTCTGTAATTCTGACGTGGTCCCGTCGTGTCATGGCAGGGAACCCCGCCATTGCCGTGCCCCTCCAAGTTTATCGTGCGCTCGATAACAAACTTCAACACACTACCCAAGGTACCTTACCTTGGACGGCAGCACCTCTGAAATTCAGTCCTCCCAAGTTTTACCCCGCGATACTTTTTCGTCCAGACCACACTTCAGCTCCCCAAACCCGGCACACCATAGCTCCGCTCCCATCCGTCTTCCCATCTTGTTCTTGACATCTTCGCGTCTCTCCATCTCGCAGCTAACATGTCGTCCTCCATCATTGAAACCATACCCATCGATCACGTGCCTGCCGATCACGTCGTTCACGTTGCTTTCTTCAAGGATATTCAGAACGCCGCCTTTTTGCACCAACAGCTCCTCGACCGCAACGCAGACTTTGAGTATGCATTGATCGATGCCTCCGTGGTATGTCGCACAGCTCATCTGCACTAGGAAGCAGCCGCCGGAATTCACTACTAATCGCAAACTTCAACAGGCCGTCTCCCGAACACACATACTCGCTGCAGCCTTCAAGGCCGTGACCGCAAAGGTTGACGGCAGTCTCAAGACCCCAAACGTTCACTCCGAGCTCGTCGCATCCCTCAGCTCTGCCAACAATGTATGGTGACTTGTGGAATTGAGTTTCAGGTACTTGGGTTTCAGGTACTAACTAGTCATCAGATCGCAGAAGCCTACCGTCGCTATGGTATTAGCCCGTCGACCAAGGACGTGATCGTCGTCAAGATTACCTCCCCAAGCGGCCCACCCTCTGCCCAAGACGTCGAGCAACATCTCAAGGACAACTTCCAGGGTTCCCCGACCCCGTTCACGGACGAATCCATCTCAACATCGACAGATTGGGCCAAGGTGCGCAAGTACTACAAGTTAAATGGTCTCGCATGGCTCGACGCTATCAAGGACGAAGCGGAGCGCAGAGAACAGCTGGAGACTCTGGTTCTGGGTGCAATGGCATTGCGCACGGCATAAGGTGCCAAACTACGCCGGCGCATGCCTCTACCATACAGGAGACCCGCCTCTGTTCTTTGAATCAGGTGTGTCGTAAGTCATATAATCATGATTGCTATGCTCCAATGCTAAGTAGACATGTCTAACTTGACACGTAGGACCCAACTCATCGCAGCCCGAGCGATTTCGAATTCCAAAAAAGCGCGTCAGTTTAGACGGATACCCCAATACTACTCTTCACCCTCCTCACCAATTCATTGAACATCGCATTGCGTCCACTCCGCGTTCGCTGCACTGCGTCACGATTTTCATGCGCCCTTCTCAAGAGATACTTCATGCATTCTCCAGTCGACCCCCACACGAGATACTTGTACGCTTCGATGGCCTGGGACTTCGCTCGTTTCTGCCCCCGCATATCGTCCGAACCTGTCAGACAGACCAGCTCGCAGCTAACTTCGTCCGCCATGCCTTGCAATTGTGCAAAGACTACGTCGGTACTGACCTCCCCATCGGTACAAATTTCTCGAGCCCGCCTGACGGACTCGGCATTGTGAGAAGCAATGACCAAGCTGATTGGGGGCATTTGAAAGTCACCCTGCAAGACACTTCCCCATTGTTTCTTGAGAAGACTTTCGGCAATGCCATCGTAGCAGGTGTCCGTGCCTGCTTTCGTTTCGTGGATGAGGTGTCTCGGGTCGGATCCAATGTAGGCACCGCGCACAAGTTTTACACCCAATGTAAAGCCTTCTTCTCTTGCGACTCGGATATGTCTTGAGAGAGTGTTTGCGGTTGACTTGAGGTATGCCTGGTACGTCCCGTGGACGAGGGCTTGCCCAGGAACGGTATTGTACTTTCGCATGTACTCCATGGTCCAGTCGTCGATACCAGGTTGCAGAGAGGCCTGTTCGGCGTCGAATAAGAGGCGAACGCCACGCTCTATAGCGAGAGAGCAGATGGAGTTGATGGCGTCGGTCAAGGCGGCAGAGGGTGGTAAACGTTCTGAAAGAGAATGTAGTGCTTGACGGCCGGCACCAGTGAATCTATCGAAACATTTAGTAGCCGTGGTTTGAAGGAGCAAGACGGACAAATGAAAGGAAAGGGTCCTACTTTAGGGCAACAAAGTCTCCAGGTTCTGCCAACTGTACTGTCTCCAAGGTACCTCTGGCCCAAGGAATAATCTCGTTGCGAATACATTCTTCCGCAATCTTGCCTTCGCTGCATGCACTGAGTTCCTTTTTCTGAGCGTCGGTCAAGACAACCTCCTTTGCGTATCCCAGTATGACACCTGAGAACCCGATGTCTTTGAGGCCCTTGATGGTTCGGCCAACTTCGGCTGGGGTTTCTCCGGCGCAGAACTGTGCGTAAAACGTATTCTTTAGGAAGAAGCGTAAGAGCGGGTTCTTGTCTGGGTTCAGCAGCGGGCTGGCGGTGTGTGCAAGGACAGACATTAGCCATAGCGAGGGGGGAAGAAGGATAGGCGAGGAGGATATTGTTGATGTCAGTAGGGAGCGGACGATCACATGCAGAGGAAGGATGGATAGGGGTGCTGGCAGGCCCATTGGTGGTGGCGGTGATGAGGATATTATCGCTAATGAGGGCGTCTTAGGTTCGACTACCACGTGTGTAGGTGTTGTGTCTGCGTCTAAGAGGTGATTATTGGACAAAGGCCGTCTAGCAGACGAATGTATGAATCTACTCGGTGCCCTCGTGCAAGGGAAACTGCCATGTTGCTGGATCCGAGCGCGGGAAGCGGACGAGAGGAAGGCGGCAAGCAATGATCTTCTCCAAAAAGCATTACTGTGTTGCTGGGCAGGTACAAACATGACCGTAGCTCAAGGGCCGCAAGGTAAGCACGCCCTTTGTACAAGCTGAGACGTAGGATAGCAAGAGCAATATTCAGAGGCAAATGAATCAATGCGAGATCGGGAATAAAGCTTGAGAATTGAGGGCAGGGTGGTGATTGCTTAGATCCAGGGCACCTTCAATTGATGAATAGCTAAGGTATTTACACGGTGATATGGAATATCAGCGCGGGAGGGTATTAAAGATAATGGAACCGACGATCTTACACATGATATAGCCTTATCTAGCGTTCTTTGCATGGCGCCCGAGCCAACAGACGATTCTTCCCGGGCTACCGCATGGGCTGTGCCGTTATCTCAGGTAGGCCGGGGTCAATGGTCAAGAGGATGATGTATTGCTGGTCGCCGAGGCCGGTCAGATAGCCAAAGATGGCTTTAGTCAGGTTGAACCAAGCTCGGCACCGGTATCTCCTCCCACAGACCCGTCACGTGGAGATCTTGTGCCACGGAGAAACAGCCGACCGTAGCCGGATGCGGAGGCGGAGCGTTCGGACGGACCCTGTTGATGATGCAGTGCAATTTGCAACGCCTCCATTGGCGAATAGTTTTGGCCTGTGATGACGGTGAGTTGGATTCCATTTGGTGGTGTCGATGCAACCAGGATTTCCTGCGACTCGAACATTCCAGTGTCTGTGACTTTTGGGTCTGCGTTCACCTATCTGGTAGGATGCCAGGCCGGGAGGTGAGGTACGGAGAGGCTGTCCTGCGGCAGACTGTCTCAATTCCGCGCGGCACAGGGCCAAGTGGGCCACGTTTGATACAGGCGGCGCTCCTTCGCATTGCTGAGGGTCACGCGCCAGCTTTGTCGCATTCTGCTTCACCCAGGCTTGGCGATGCCTGGTACAACCAAGAATCCGTGGGTGCACAGCACCTGAACCATGGCTTATTGCAATGAGGTCCCTCTCTTTCGGGAGAGAGCCCTAGATTAACCACTCTGGGGCTGATCGGCCTTCGATGCCTTGCCAGACCCAAATCGCCGGCGTAGAGATTCGACATAGCCAATGGGACGGCCCCGAGCAAGGCCAACCGCGTCTTGCAGTCCACCGTATACGAGTCCAAAGAGGAGGCCGTATTTTGCTGTGCGAGCTGCCGTCGGGAGGGAGAAACGGTCTAGAGTGAAGAAGAAGTATCAGTATGCGCATTTTATGTGCCTGCATGGGATGGAGTTGACCTACTCCACAGACTGAAAGTACCGGCCACGGTCAAACTGGCCGAGACGGTGCTGATGAGATCGCTCTGGCCTCGACAGCGATCGATAGTGCTCTCCAAGCCAAAGGCCATGAGGGTCCAGAAACTGAGTCTGGCTCCCATGGTCAAACCTTCCTTGAGGCCGCCATACATGGTGTGGTAGTTCTTGCTTTTATGATAGAGATACCATCCGGTCGTAGTCGTTGGCATCTTGTGTGCGTGCTCAGCGCGGAAGCGCAGCTGGGCTATGCGACCTCCATGTGCCAGACCAAGAGTGGTTCCGATACCAAAGCCAATAAGTCCCGCGAGCGGGATACGTGCTGGTGTCGGGATGGAGAGGCGAGCCTCTGAAGGCTTCTGGCCGAATCTGAGGCTTTCGGCCAACGTCATCTGCGGGCGTTCGGCCATGGTAGGGTTGATATTTGGAGGATAATCGGTCTCGGATTGTGTACTATGGTGTTTGCTGGCGTAGTCAGACATCTTATACGAGCCGGCAGTCTATGGCTGTTGGCAATTGAAGACTTTGGCGACGGGGACCGGGATGCACCGTCGAGGTGCTCGCTCATCTCAGGCGCAGAAGTCCGTGATCCGTCAGCTTCAAGGAGCTTGGGCCACTACCACCATCAGAACACGAAGTCATGTGATTTCGCATTGGGGAAAGTGCCCCGCGCACCCGAGCTCCGTCGCGACTCCCCCCGCTGCTTACTTTACAGCTGCTAGTTAATTATTACCTTGCCTTAATTCTGCACTCACCGGCGATCCCCAACCAACATCTTGGTTTGCGACATTTCACCGTCGCCTCCAATACACGACAACCTGCCTTCAATTACCCCCAAGGTAGAACAAGAGCACTTGGTTCAAGGCATTTCTGTTTTGCAAAGATGGTACGAACATATCTAACCAGTCTATGTAGCGTAGCTTGCTAAGCTCCTGGTGCTAACACTCCTGTTCAGCAGATCGACGAGACCTTCTTCTCGGTGCGCTTCAAGTACGGTGCCCATACCATCTTGATGTTTGTCGATGGCCAACAAAAATTCTCCGAAGTAACTGTTTCGCTTCTCGAGGTGCTCCGTGACCGCTTCCCCGACGGTCTCACAGTCAACCACACTTCCCCCGAGGCGACCGCTATTCCCGAGGGCGACGTACAACTGGCTTATGCCTTGCCTGTCAATGCCACCGATTTGACGCAAGGGTGGAAGAATATCAAGGTCACTGACAGCGATACGCCAGTTGCCAAGGGCTTCAAAGACAATTGCATTGTCGCGTTCTCATTTGAGACAGATGAGCCCGAGTTCTTGGTCGACATCCCGACTCTAGACGATGAGATGGAAGATGAAGAGGGCATGGGGTCTGACGCATGATGGACGATACTTGGGGGTTTAAAAACGATGCATGCATGGCGTTGGGCGATGGGTTCACAGGATTATGAATCATGTGCGTCAAAGTTGAAAAGTGTGGCCTTTCACAGACACGCAGCAACATCTGTCTGCACAGATGAATATCAGGCAATAAAGGATATTATCTTGATTAATACACGCTTGAAGTTAGCAAATTGAGGGCCCAAAACATCCTGGGCACGGAAACAAGCTTGATTTTAGGTTGTTAGTCCCTGGGCACCCAAGACAGTCCATGATGGCTGCCACGACTGGAAAGACAATTGGGTAAACAGCCGTGGCCTTCAGAATTGCCGACTCATAGGCACCTATATCGTCAGCTATGGGCTTTTTATGACTTTGTTATATCCAGAAGAACATGTGAAATTGAACCTCAATTGGTAGGAAGATGCATTCATCGCACTTCGCATCGAGGTAAGAAACCACCGTTGGGACAGGGTCTGGATCAAATGACGTCGGTGGCCTGGACCCGGCCACAGCAGGTCACAGGCAGGAAACAGGGGCTGCTGGGGTCTCCACCACACCCCGGGGGCCTAGACACAGGGCTTGGCCAGGGTTGCTGTCGCTGTATCCATTTGGACCCCTTTTCCAGACATGTTCCGTCCCATGTCACCCCCGAACGCAAATTGCGACGGAAAGCTGGACGAAACAGGAGGAGCTTGTTTTTATTTTTTTCTTCCCACCTCAACTTGTCACTATTCATACGATTCGGTTACTCTTTTCGTTTGGCTTCACTCCTCTATCCAGAACAAGGAGGTCCGGCACCAAATACAGCTGCAGAGTCATCGACTTCTGCTTCATGCTGCCGTCTACATGTCCCTCGTGGCCCTCCTCCGCCATGGCCTCCGCCTTCTGCTGCCGCTGGCGGTAATCTCGACCTTTTACCTGTATCTCTATCCAGTCTTCCTTGGATGCGCATTTCCTGTCGCTCCAACTGGCAGCGCATCGACGAGCCCGAGCCACGTCGCCGACAGCAGTGCTGCTGCTTTCCTCGAAGCTGCGCGACAACACATTCCTCTACCAATTCCCCTCCGATCAAGCGAAGCTCGCCCCGCGCCTTTCCGTCTTCTCGCGCTTGGTGACCCCCAGCTCGAGGGCGACACGTCCATTCGAAAGCACGATGGTCCAATCTTTCCCCACGCGAGAAGCCTGTGGTCCCATGTGACCTTTGGGTCGAATCACTCGTTGCGCCAGCGCATTCGTCACTGTCTGCACGACATTGTCGATATCTTCTGGGAGGACGTCTTTGACGAGCTCGAGTCCATTCGCAAGCGGATAGACCTCTTTGGCAACGACTTTTACCTGGCACATATCTTCCGAACGGTACACTGGTGGACTCGCCCTACCCATGTCACCGTGCTCGGAGATCTCTTGGGTAGCCAGTGGATTGGCATTGAAGAGTTCCGGCGCCGCGGCCGTCGGTACTGGGATCGCGTGGTGCGAGGGGCCGAGAGGGTTCCAGACGAAGCCGCAGTGTTCCCGGCCATGGAGTATGACCTCACCGACTACCTTTCCCCATCTGGTGAGCCCTCTGCTTTGTGGCCGCGCCGTGTCATAAACGTGGCCGGCAATCACGACATTGGTTACGCCGGCGACATCAACCAGGACCGCTTTGGCCGATTCGAGCGCCTCTTTGGCAAGGCAAATTACGAGCTGCGATTCGAGCTACCCATCCAAGACCCGGAACTCAACGCCACCATTGTGGATGACGAGCAAAACCCCGAGTCCGATCGCCTTGCTCCAGAAATTCGCGTCATTGTCCTTAACGACATGAATCTAGATACTCCGGCCAAAGACACGTCTCTGCAAGACGACACATATGCCTTCATCAACGCAGTCATTGAGACTTCAGCAGCGGTAGAATACAGCGGTCATTTCACCGTTGTCCTGACTCACATCCCGTTGTACAAACCTGAAGGTGTTTGCGTCGATGCGCCCTTCTTCGACTTCCACGGCGACCATGACGGTGGCGGAGTCAAGGAGCAGAACCTGCTATCGGCTGACGCGAGCAAGGGCTTCCTCGAGGGCATCTTTGGCATGAGCGGTAACACGGAGGCGCCCGGCAACGGCAAAGGTCGCCGCGGCGTCATCTTGAACGGCCACGATCACGAGGGCTGTGACACGTACCACTACATCAACCAGACGAAACCAGACCAACAAGATCGGTCATGGGAGGTCGAAACCTGGCCGACAGCAAAGGGCCGCGGCGCAGTCGGTGCCGCTGGTGCGCCGGGGCTGAGGGAGATCACAGTCAGGAGCATGATGGGCGACTTTGGCGGCAACGCAGGTCTGCTCAGCGCCTGGTTTGACGAGTCCACGTGGACCTGGCAATTTGAATATGCAACCTGCGCCTTGGGTACCCAGCATTTTTGGTGGTTCGTCCACATCATCGACCTCATTGCGGTCGTAGCACTCGTTGCTTACGGCGTCCTAGTCGTGACAGCGACAAGCAGTGCCTCCGTTGCAGCACCAGCTCCAGTCCTAGTGGAAAAGAAGATGGTTCAAAACGGGGAGGCCAAATCATAATAATGTTGCTCAAATACCCGGCCAGGAAAAGCCTTGTCTCATTTCTAGTAATCAATGTCATTTTGTAGCATTACTCGCACCCTCTCGCAATTTCCATTCGGCATGCTGTGAGATTATGTCAGTCCTTTCCGTTGCGATGGCAACATCCGGTAGTGTTCATCCATCGCCGCGATGATTCATAAGTATAAGGGTGGTCCTGTCGTTGATAGAACATCAGACTTTCATCCTCAAGCTGCCGTGGACATTTTCCATCAGTCGAGAACGACCGAGCTGCCCCTGGCTCTAGGTTCCACGATACATCTCCCAAGGCACCACTTCCGGACAGGTCCGCGGTGAGGTAGTTGGTGAGGCGTTCAGCTCGTACGTGCAAGCCTGCGATATGAGAAATAGATCATGCTGTGTTCTCTGTCACTTGCCAACACTGCGCATCTTCAGCTGTAGCAAGGCAGGTAGTCATGAATTCCGTAGAAGTTGCACGAGACCGACCACATGGCGGTGAGACATCGCCCAGTAGATCAGGCACGCAGCGCAATCTGGCAGCCCTGCGCAGCGGCGCCCCCCCCCCCCCCCCCCTGAGTTCAATGCATCGATCCATTGCAGTACGAGGGTAGAGTACGGGGACGTAATGTCGACGCGTTCCAAACGATACTAGCTACACTGGGTCACGCAGCTTTGATTCAGCGAAAACACGACCCTGTCACGTCGTACAAGTGCCACGGAAGCAAGTCCAATTCTATTGCAACAGTGAAAGGACGTTTTGTCGCACGTATTTTATCTTATTCCCTACTACACCTACCGCTCTCCCTTGCTGGACGCCGGTTGCCCTGCTTACCGGGAAGAGCAAGGCGAAAGATCTCATGATGGATTCTATAAGTGTTGCGCTGGTGCTGTTTCGCTATCAATTACGGTTATACTAGTACGACCTTTTGCACGACATCCGGTAGGAGCAATAGCATTCATTCTTTGGTCACATGAGCTCACGCAGACGTTTTCCATCCCAAAATACCCAACTTTGAGGTGGTCTTTGACGTCGAGGAGCATCCGAGGCTTATCGAGAAGCACAGAAACCGTCACCAGACCGGGAACCATTGTCACCTTGATAGCATTGTTGCTGTGCCAGCCTGTGCTTCATCGCGCAGCCTCGTGCTGGGTAAACCGCAAACATTGATGCAGATGATCTTGTGGTGATACTGCCCTGTTTTACTGGTTTTGATATCGAAGTCCGGAAAAGACAACAGGGCTTTCTTCGAGGCAGAGAGGGTATATAATTCAGAGCCACGTCGAGGTCGAAAACATGGATTAAGAGCATCGACATCGACCAACATTGCAATATAAACCCGAAACTTCGCAACGGCAACTTGAGGAAGTCTATTTTATCATTAGCGTTCAACAACACCTCTAAGAAACAAGTCTCGTCGCTAGTTTCTCGATACCATCACAACATGCGCTTCTTTCAACTCACACTCTTCACCCTCCTCACGGCACGAGGCCTAGCCGCGCCAACCACGCAAAAGCCAGGCACCAACTCACTCGCCGAAGCAGACCCTCTCATCGAGGCAGGAAAGACGCCACCATTCAACCCATTGTGGCACTACTGCCAGATGGCCTGCCGCTGCGACGACTTGAAAGGGAAAGACGGGGACGGGTACGTGAGATCCTCATCGCTTTGCAATTTCATACATGCCACAAAAGAGTGTTGCTGTCAAGTCTTTCCTAATAGACTAACCTTTTGGCAGATTCTTCCAATGCGTCACAAACCCCAACTGCGAGCAGTGTGCGAGAGTAGGGATGAAGAAAAACCCGCACCCGGCTTAAGCATTCTCAACCTTAGGAAAGTTATGTTAGACGGCTGGAATCAGATCAACGGAGGATATCTGGAAAACTTTATCAGGATACCGGCCACTGAAGGTATGTGATAATGGCGAATAGTAATACGGCCTGCGATGATTCATGATGAGAAACGGACGACGGGCTGGAAACCTGTAGGCTTGCAGTAATGAACAATGGACATCAACTGAACAGTCTGGATCTGGAATGGGCGAACGCCTCGCTTCTAGTTTGATCTAAATGCACCACTTGACTGCAGCATGAATTTATATCGCACAATGGTACGTCAACTTTGATTGAGCCATTGCCTCATAGAGGTGGTCTGGCTGTGTAGTAGTATACAGAGATTCGTACATATGCAGACCCGCGTCGTCAAGTCTATGTGCAAGCTGGGACGCCTCCTCGCCGTCCAAGCTTGCCTGATAATACAAATACAGATAGTTTTGGTAAGAGGAGAGAAGAAATGGGTCTCGGTAGAATGCACAAGACGTGCTGATTAGCCAAGGGGTTTTTGATTGTGCGTGGCAGCCCCCTCTTTACTGCTTCTTGTTGGCCTCGTCGCCCTTGACGAACCATCCGCTGAAGGAGCCCATCATGCTCTGCATGGCTTCCTG